GTGATCTCTTGAAATGATACGGCTCCGGATGAGGCTGCCAAGAAAGACTACCAAAGAAGAGAAGCAAGTAGTCAACAGGGTGTGAAGATCTTTTAAAATGGGTTTTGAACAGTCCCAATGAAAATAATGGGATAAAAGCAACTTACTACTTCGTTTTCCCCTACTGCTCAGATTACATTGTAAATTAAAATTGGCAAACAGATAAACTGGCAAGAGTTAGAGAGGTTGGAAGGTGCAACCTCATCAATTTACCTTTTGACAATTGTGAATCTTGTACCTTCTATGTGATTCATTTTGTGAGAATCATCAGGATGGTTTTAAAAAACCAATCAATTAGCCAGCAACTCAAGAAGGTTGATATCTCTATTATACCTCAATGAAAGCCCTGTGATGTCAGAAAAAATAGATACATTTATATATTTGAGACCCACAAAGTGGAATAAAATACTTATGCTTACTTGCTGATCCTGTACACCATCCACCTCCATGGATGAAAATCACTGCTCTTTTCAAGACATCTGACTGCTTTGTAGGAATATAAAGACGTACTGGAACATGGCTAAATTCTGTGTCTGTTACAATAACATTTTCATCAGATGTTGGTGCTGTATATTCAAACCTCATGTACAGATTTATAACATCCATATAGCGTCCAAGACCCAACTTCTCCACAATTGTGGCCTGCAAAACAAATGTTAACATCCTTTTTTTTTTGCTTGAAAGAAATACCAGCATCTGTTGCCTTGGAGATACTCCATGAGATACTCCAAGGACATTCTGAGAGAAATTCATGGTTACAGAGCCCATCATTTCAGGTACCTGCAGAAGCAAAAAACAAGATGGCACTGCCATAGGCACTGCCAGGAGAACCAGTTTGGGGAAATGGCAGGCCTGAATCACTGCCAGTTCCAATGACCCACGATGCCAAACTACTACTGGTTCAGACAAACTGGTCCAAACTGGTAGGAACCCATCACTGTGTCTTTCTCTCCCTCTCTATCTCCCCCTCTTTCTATGTCTCTCTTTGTCTCTCTTTCCCTCTCTCCCTCTCTATCTCTCTTCTCCCCCTTCTTTCTATGTCTCTCTCTCTCATTCTCTCTCTCTCTTTTTTTTCTCTCTTTCTCTGTGTTTTCTCTCTCTCTCTCATCTCTCTCTCTCAGAAAGCCGAGACTGGGCCAACCAATCAAGCTGTCCTTGGGGTTCTTCGCTGCTCCTTTTCTTTCTTCTTGGCAACTTTTGGAAATCCGCTCTTGCTGAGGAATAAGGAATGAGCGCAAGCTGCGGCAGAGGCTTCCCCAAAGATGGTCCTTCTTCTCCTCTCACAATCCCCTGGCTGGCTCTGGTGGGCCAGAAGGGGGAGCATTAATGGGAAGACAGTCCTTAAGTGGGGGCTGGGCTCAGCCAAAGTGCAGCAAAGGTGCATGGGGCACATGGGCTGACCAGCTGACGGGCGAGTGTTTTTGGCAAGGGTACTCTCGCTCTCTCAGCCAGTTCCCCAGGGTGGGTGTGTAAGGTTTGATGGATCAGGCCCCCTTTTCCAACTGCCATGAGCATCTTTACTTCTTCAGCAGATAGGTGCCCCAGCGGCTTTGATTGAAAAGTGTCCTCTAGATGGTGAAAGTCCAATGTAAGGTTTAAAGCTGAAGCCCCTTTTCTGTCATCCCCTCCTGGATCCTATTCCAACTCCACCAACTGTCATATTAGTGAGGCCAGCATTGGTCACAGTTGGATGGGCCCAGTGACTCAGGGT